AAAACTTCTCATAGTCTAATGGCTCGCGAAGGATCAGGTTCTGTACATTATTGTCGGTGAGATCATACCTAACTGCATAGCCTGGTTTGTCTACTCTGACTTTAGCATATTCACATTTAACAAAATATCCTTTACTACGTAGCTTAGTAGTAAGTGATCTACACTGTTTGTAAACCTCTGACTGTTGTTTTGTCAAGTCTTTATGTATGTAAATAGGCCTACCATTCGGTGTAAAAGATTTAGAAACATATCTCTTTGCACATAATACCAGGCTTCTCGAATTGGTATTGTAAAATTTTACTAAAATACATGATGTAGAGGTAAGAACAAAATCAAAATATGCACAATGTAGAGAGTTAATCTTATAGTCGTCCCAACCTAGTCCTTCGCGGAGTAATTTTATAAACATTGCATGCGCGTGCTCTTCAAGTTTACTTTCACCGCTATCATTTTGTCGTGGTTCTCAAAGGCACTAGAATTAATCGGGTTAAATCCAGAAATACGAACATTATATGATCTTGATAAAATATCACTTTGCTCAACACGTTTTTCTATGTTGTTTATCTTCTCCTTGATACCGGGTATATCATTTTCGCGAGTATTACGCGAAAGTGTTTCTTGTGCTCTCAAGCGTTGTATAACTTCCTCCATTTCGATTTGAAAATTATTGATAGTGGTATTATTTTCATAGTTATTCTGTACGTTTAATAGGCTGTCTTCATTGAGCAACTATATAAAGTAGAACTTAAGTACATAGTATATTTATTTCTATAGTTGTTAGTTTATTTTACTGCCGGAATCTATAACGTAGATCTTTAGTAGATTTGAACAAGCGAGGGTAATGGAATAGCACTGGTATATCATTCATTATCTGCTGTTTTTCAGAACATGAAGACGGGATTATTGGTGAGTGAAATGGAATACATCGCACAGTAGACACCGAGTTTCTACGCAGAAAATTGCAAAATTTCCTTTTTCTTGAAAGGCTGACAATGTAAAAGTACACTTTTTATATAAATGGAGTATTTTTTCAAATACAGTAGTATGAGAATGTCTTCTTTTGTACAAATTACTTTAGGATTATTATTTAATAAGAGATTAGTTCAAACTTGTTGGTTCCCAAGAACAAAAAAAGAATACTTTATGTGACCCTCCTCGAAATGTTCAGAATAATTCAAAAACGGTGCATATCTCCATGATTGTCAAATCATTTACGCTTTTCTAGACTCCTACACACGCCACACTTTACAGAAAAGAAAGAGGGTTATTCCTCACTTAAGTACCCCAATGTGAAAATTTTGATATTAAGCATTTCATCACCCTCAAAAAGCAAACTGTCACACAAGAAGCAACAAAGCGTATCTTTAAATATGTTTATAGCACTGTTTCACACACAGTCGAAAATTTATAAAAAACTAGACCAATAAAATTAGGCCCTCGTTTAGACTGGTGGCCCCATCATGTTGGTTGATTGAAGACGATGATGCCAATCAGAAGCCCGCTTTCTTTGTACAGTATGTGT